GGTAGTGTACGTGAGGAGGCTTATGAGTATAAGAGGAGAATAAGGTTGTTAGAGTACGGTATCTTTTGTGTGATCAATTGTTTCATGGGGAGAGAGAGAAACTCCTGAGAAAAACTCAAACCGTGTAACTTTTGATCAATACAACGTATTTCTTAATTTCAGATTCTCTTTTTACAAGTTTGATACCCTAAACGTATCACAATATTCCCAGAAGAGTAAATGATAATACCTTTCTTATAACCGGGTGGCCACCACGCTCACTAACACCATCCACGACTTCCTCATTGGCCAAAACAGTACCAAGAGCCGGGCACCAATTGACAGGTACTTCAGCCTGAAGTGTTTAGAGGATGACTTTCCATAAACATAGGCACAATTTTCAAAATAGTGATCTAGAGGATGACTTTCCTGACCTGATAAGCTAAACCTCTTTTATAAAGCTGAAGAAAGATCCACTGTGTCCATTTATAATAGTCTGGCTCTGTTGTAGAAAGTTCACGGTCCCAGTCATATGAGAATCCCAGCGATTTTAGCTGCAACCAAGAACAACAACAGAAAACCCAATCAAGAAACTAGAGGTCCGCAGATCTTACTCTCGTGGTAGACCTAAACAAACAGCCAACAAAACACTCATAAAGACCTTATTGGACATAATTAAGCATACCATTCCACCAACTCAACTAATATCAAAACAGTGACTTTTCTAGGATAGTGTCAAGTTGAAAGCAATGCACTTACCTGCAAACGAAAACGATCAATGTTCCTCAAAGTTGTAGTTTTCGGATGTGTTCCCGTCTGCAATGTAGATTACAAATGGCGGTAAGTACTTAAAAAGGCTTACCCAAAATGAACTGAAGGATAGTAATATCAGAAAATGAAACCTCAATAGCATATTGTTCAGCAGGCAAACCAAAAGCATCCCAACCCATAGGATGCAAAACATTGTAACCTTGCATACGCCTAAGCCTCGCTAGAATATCAGTCGCTGTATAACCCAGTGGATGCCCCACATGTAACCCTGCTCCACTGAAAACAAGAACCCACAAACAAAGCTCAAAACTTTATGATGAATAAGCCTCTCAACTAGTCAAAGTTGTGAACTTTCTTTCTACCTTGGATAAGGAAACATGTCGAGGACGTAGAACTTGGGTTTGGAAGTATCGACGTCGTCTGGTGTCCGGAAAGTGCGGTTGTCTTCCCAGTAACGTTGCCACTTGGGCTCAATTTCGTGAAATGGATAGACCCTTTTCGCCGTTTCCGTCACCGGGGTTTCGTCTTTCAGGTTGCACTGAGTCTTCGTCTTCGCCGAGCTCCTGACTCTGGGGTGATGAGAGCGACGCCATTGGAATGGGAGACTGGGAAAGGGATGCTTTGGAGAGACTTTAGGACGAATATGAAGGAAACAGTGAGATACCAGAAATGGGTCTGAACGAAATTGGAGTATTTGATGAGAGCTCATCATTGCCTGTCTCTGTGGCTTTTCTTGTGCCGGAGACGAATGGATAATTTAGATGTGTGTTCTATATGGACCTCCCTTTGAAACCATTGTTACTGGAACGACGACGTTTCTGTGTGTTTTTCAGTCTACGACTACGTATTGGGTATTCTTTTTTTTTTTTTTTTTTTGACCCAACTTCAACTTTCATTAACCAAAGAGTGTTACAATAAGATTACACCTCACACAAGATTCAACCACAAGACAATGGAGTAATCTAGTATCACCTAGGAACACTTCTATGGATCCTACGCTACCCAATCGAGACTCCATTGCACTCTTGCAACCACATGGGACGAATCCACACTACGACTCAGTATGAACCGCCCCTTAAACCACCTACATTCTACCACTAAACAAAAAAACAAAGATACAAAACTATTTCAAGGTCAATCGAGAACGAAACACAAGAGAAAGTTAAATAAGCTCAGGGTAGTTGATGCCTTATGATTTGAGTGCAGCATATGACCAACGACCACAACACTAAGAAGTGCATCTTCCTCTGTGTAGGCTCCAACTATCCTGAAACTAAGGCTCTGTATCTTTGCAAAGTCGGGTTGAGATTTTGGCAACAACGACAGTTCAGTTCATCATCAAGAGGAGACAAAGGAAACTACCGGTAGGATCCGGCATGCGGATGTTTCACGTTGAAACATGAAGCCACAGAGATTTAAAACTCCTTTGTTGACCAATCGATGAAGCTTAAACCTCTTCATGTTCTGTCTCCGAGAACCGGAGAAGCAGCTGCTCTTGAGAAAACCTTCATGCCATTGACGAAACTTCCTATGTCCACAAAGAAGCGCCATTCTTCCCTCCTCCGAGTTGGCCATCAACGACCCTCTGCGACTGAAGGAATCACAGCCACGCGCCACGCCTGAGCCAATCCAGCTGACACACGCCAGCCTTATGAGCTCCGGTACCGCCGTTAAGAGAAAGGCTCTCAACATTCACTTGTCGGGGAATGAGACCAGAGTTTTCCACATGCCGAAAGCTCTCCAGACCTCCAAACCACGCGCCCTCACCTTTCTTCTCCAAGATGTCTGTCTTCAGATCTACGAGAGAGGGGAACACAAGCACAGCCACGCACCTCCATCTCTATGTTGTAATCCGACGAGTCAAGCGTGAGAAAACGACCGTCAACGACCACTAACAAACCCTAAAAGCCGACCCATCTTGGAGGTTCTTCTTCTTCCTGCTCGCCGCCGTTCCAGAGATCCGTCTTCCTCCCTCTACCTCAGCACCGCCGCCGTATTGGGTATTCTTTTAGTTGTTTGTTGGTCTAACGGTTATTTTTTTTTTTTTTTGGTCTATGAAGAGTTATTTTCTAGTTTGGGTTTAACATATAAGCAACTCGGCTCATATCATATGAATTAAAGGCCTATACTGAAGAAAAGAAACAAACACTTCGAAATCTTCGTCTTGCTTTTTACATGGGAGACGTTCCATATTCGTAAATCGTAAGTTCGTAACTAAAACAAGTTACGAGGTAAGAATTTATTGTGTTTTAGGTTCCTTGACGCTCTCTCTCTATAGTTGTACCTATACATCAAATGAATTTTCAGATTCACGAGAAACTGGGAATCTCAACAGCCCGTCACATTACTTGTTGTCTCCGAATTTAGCCTCTATAAATAGTCCCCTCGATACATTAGTTTTGATCCATCAGTCTACAAACTTATTAACATCAGTTTCAAGAAGAAAAAGAAGAAAGAATGTGGTGGATGCAAGCTTTCAGGTTCATTGGCCTTGTTGCTAATGTTGTCACCGCTGTAGTAGGATTGGTTATGATCTTCCTCTAGTCTATCTTATTTCAACGATGTAGAACAATATTATCTCTACTATTAAATAAAGTTCTACTTCTCTGCTGAGTTGCTGATTGTTTTCTTTAAGATATTAACGAGGTAGACCCATATTACCTCTATTATTCAAGATCAGTATCTTGTCTTGCAATAAGTCTTTCTTCAAGTCTTTATATGTTTGCTAATTGCTGTACAATGAAAACAAAAGAAGCCAAAAGCCCATCTCTGCTTCTCGCCTTCTCCCTCGATCGCTTCTATAACACAAGGCCTTTGCTCTTAATTCTCTAAAACTTAAATCATATTTCGTATATTGTTACTACTGAAATAGAACAATTCAGAGGCCACTCTTTAGGTTCTGATAGATGCTTCTCAGTCGAGCAATTTCATCATCATAAAATAAGAGAAATATCACTAAACAAACTCTAAAGTCAGACAGTGAGTGAGCAATTCAACTAACACAATAATCCTAAATCTAAACCAACAAAAAGTAAAGATGCTAATGATTCAAATCAATTTACTATCATTCCATATATAAAATTAAGATTCAATATAAATATTAGACAATGATACAACACAACCTATTAAGAAGCCGAATTTAGAGGTGAACTGGTTAGATTTAACTTTGAAATAAGCTTGGTTATATTGACATAAACCAGACCATAAATACATATAACTTGTAATGAATAACAAGAATCATTTTCGTTGTTCTCATCTTCTTCGATCGTATCTTCTGTCACAACTGTTTTTCTAGTGTATAGAAAATAAATATTTTTTTTGTTGCTGTATAATTTTTAATACAGCATTCGTCAAATGAACCGGAGCAACATAAATACTTTTTTTTAGCAAAAAAAAAACTTAAATACATTAATACACATGAGTCCGGATAAATTTGGGGTTCACATAAGAAATAAGAATAGCTAGGCTCATTTAATTAGGCTTATAATGGGAAGAGAAAAACAAACACTATATATAAACTCTTCATCTTGCTTTTTCGTTGGGAAGGTTCATATTTAAAACTAAACAAGTTACGATGTAAGAATTAAATGTGGTTTTTACATCCATTGAATAAATTTTAAACTATCGAGAAACTGGGAATTTCAACAGACCATCACATTACTTCTTAATTTAGGGTTTAGCATCTATATATAGCCTCGTTATATACTTCTTTAATTTATTAACTTTCTAAAACTTTATAAATCGTAGTTTCAAGAATAAGAAGAACAAGGAAGGATGTGGTGGACCGTGGATGAAAGTTCTCAGCTTCATTAGCCATGCTGCTACTATTGTTTCTGCTGTAGTAGCAATACTTGCGATGTTTTCTCTTTAGTATTTCAATTTCTCAATGATGTAGAACAATATTATCTCTTTTATTGAATAAGTTCTACACCTCTACGAGTTGTTTTGTTGTTTCCCTTAAGATATCAACGAGGTACAATCATATTACCTTATTATTTAAGTGAGATCCACATCTTGTTTTACAATATGGTTTTTAAGTCATATATTTGCTGTGATACATCAAAAAACAAAAGCAAAGGCTTTGTCTCTGCTTCCCTCTAGTTCTTAGCAAAATGAACTCTACGATTACCAGATTTGCTTTAAGATCTCAAAAGGTTCCTTTTGTTTCGTATATATATACGAGTGTAGTAGCTAGTGTAGGCACTTTTGGCTTCTCATCGGCTACAGGGAAGAGATTAAATTTGAACAAGTTTTGCTTTATGCTTCTCATTCTAGCAATGAATATGAGTTCGCTTTAATCCGATATTAAAGAATAATAACATGACTAAACCAAGTCGAAGGTCGGAAAAGAGTGATCAATACTATCATAGGCTACCAAGTATGATTTTAGATTTCAAAGATTCAGACCAACTTGTACGATATGATATTACGCAGCCCGCCGAGTCCGTTTGAGTAAAGCTTTGTAGTCGCAAATGTACTCGCAACATGAGACTTTTTGAGACCATAACATGTTTGGCATGCTACACAACAAACCGAATTACAACTACAAGAGTTAATTTCATCGTTCTCATCTTCTTCGATCACGTCACCGGAGCAAATCCATTAAAAAAAAAAAAATTGATTCCGTAACCATATATATACTAGGTGACTGGCCCGCACCCTGTGCGGGTATATAAAGATTCAAATTATGGACTTAATAATACAGAGTTTTAGAAGTAATAGATTTTATATCATAAAACCACCGTCTTTGAGGTAAAGCATCATGCACAGAAAAATGTTGGTACACAATATTTTACATGGAGGAGATGGAACAAAGCAACACCAGTATCAATAGGTAGTTATTGTGTGTATTTATAACTGCAACATCACAAAAAAATTGTGTGTTGAAGATTGAATTTTATTTTTCAAATCTGAAATTAATAGTGTGTAGTTTTATAAGTAACATATTTTCTATTATCACTAATTAGAATTGTATTGTATATGTGTTGTAATTCTTTATTTTAGGTGAAAAATATTATTATGCATAAATTTTTCGTAAAATGTATGTAGACAGATTAAAAAAAATGTTACACATATCTCTCTCTCTCTCTCTCTCTCTCTCTCTCTCTCTCTCTCTCTCTCTCTCTCTTTATTCTGATTTTGGGACAACGGACTTTAATTAGGTCATTAAAGATTAGTACATTTGATACATCAATTCACTTTATGTTTCAGTGATCTAATAAAACTTATAAGACAATACTATGAAAAAGAAGATGTAATAAAACTGAAGAGCTTATACGACAATAATGAGAAAATGCTTTTATTATTAATTTATAACATTACAATAACGCTAATTCCACAAAAGTAAAATAAAAAATTCAATTAATAGAAATTCTAACAAAAGCCACAGCTTAACCAATAGAAGAGTATACTATTGATAACACGTTCAAAACTTAAACAACGTCAATGAGCTTCCGTTCAAAAGCATGATTGATTCAATCTGCTACAGGTCTGAAAGAACATGTAAAAAATTATATTTACCCAAACACAATTTCTAATGACGTTTTCTTTTGATAAAAACATGAGTTTACTTGGTTTATCCGTATTTTTTCTTTGGTTGCATAATATATCTTGTAATAGTTTTTTCCAAGTAGCATTCCAAACATTTTCTGGATTTGTGATATGATATATGGTGTTTTTAGCATATTCTAACAATGTTTTCTAAGTGTTTTTGAGTCTTTATCGAGTCTCTTTAGTCCTTTTTAAGTCATTATAGGTATGGAGTTGCTTTGGATGGAAGATGGACCAGTTGGAGAAAAAGAGTGCAATTTGGAAATTTTCACGCGGAACAGTCTCGCGGAACAGCTGTTCCTGC